TGAAGTTCCCCCCAAACTCCACAGCTTGTTCACATCTCTGTGTCTTTATATATGCCCCCACCTTGTCAACTTGTCACTGTCAGGATCTAAAAATATTTGATAGCTCCCTGCCCAGAAGCCCTCTCTAAGCTCTGAGCAGTATACATTCCATTCTCTATTTTCTCTATGCTCCTTGAATTATTCATCCTTTTTTTAAAAATTGAAGTATGGTTGATTAACAATGTCATGAATTAATCCTTGAATTATGTTTCTTCTCTTGCGTATATCATGCCATACTGTTATCAGTTCTTCAAGGGCAGAAATCAGGGTTCAGTTGCACATAGAATGTGTTCTATAAATGGGTAGATGGGTAGATGATAGATGGATAGGCAAATAAACAAATGAACAGGTTCTAAAATCACCAAGTTCAGAGAGTGGGTAGAGAATGGGTCTTTTGCAATTCTGTCACCTGATGTATGTTCCAAACTTATTGATGGTTATATAATGATGATTCTTCTTGTAAAAATGGTATCTGGGGTGCCTAACTCTGATATAAACCCTTCATCTGGAATTATTCCTTTGGTAGAAAATGACAGAAATACAGCGCCATGAATCTTGGTATAAGGGTAATGACTTGAATTATATTCTACGGTATCCTTCTACCCAATTATGACAGCTTTTGGTGTACATGATCTGGTAGGAGGAGGCTAAATGGATCTTACAGCTCAGGCTCAGACAGACCCTGAATTTATTTAGCAATAATAGTAGTATTGGAAGTAGTAATAATGACAATAATTAACAATCATATGGTAATCTAAAATTTAATAAACTTTAGACTTATAATTTCATGCTTTGATTCAGCTGGTCAGAGTATAACTTTATTTTTCCATAACTGAGTTTAACTTAGCTCTGGGTCCATCTTTTTTCCTTTAAGAGTAGAAATCTCTTAATTTTGCATTTCAGGTTGACTTGGTCACTTCAAGTTAAAAAGTCAGTCTTTGGAGGGCAGTCAGTTCTCTCTCGTGACACAGTCAGAGCCCCCCACTGTGACTGGGGTCTCCCTTCCTCTCTCACTGGCGACCTCGCTTCTGTGTCTAACTCCAGTGTGTTCATGAGGAAGAGGGTCTGTTGGCCGGAAGAAGCGTTCGTAGATGGTGGCCCGTAGGCCACTACCAGATCCCTGCAGATAGGATTTAATCCACAAATCTGTCTATCTGGAAACTTTTAAGTTCAGTTTATCTTGGGATTTAAAATAATCTCAGGCCACCTGAAGTTGGCAGTTAATTTATGATGACGTATTTCTCAAGACCCTTTGGTTGCAAGTGAAAAAAAAAAACTAACTCAAATTCACCCTACAAGAAAAAAAAAAAAGATGAAAAGATGGAAAATGCAGAAGGGGAGGGTAGGAGAAGAGGAGAGGAAATTTTGAGATTGCATTAGGTATTTATCAGGGCCCTTTTGATGGCAACTAACCAAAATCCAACTAATGTTGGTTTAGACAAGACAACAAAACAAAATTTTTAAAAGTGGATTGGGACTTCCCTGGCAGTCCAGTGGTTAGAGCTTCACCTTCCAATGCAGGGGGTGCAGGTTTGATCCCTGGTCAGGGAGCTAAGATCCCACATGCCTCATGGCCAAAAAACCAAAAAAAGCATGAAACAGAAGCAATATTGTAATAAATTCAGTAAAGACTTTAAAGATGGTCCACATCAAAAAAATCTTTTAGGGCTTCCCTGGTGGCACAGTGGTTGAAAGTCTGCCTGCCGATGCAGGGGACACGGGTTCGTGCCCCAGTCCGGGAAGATCCCACATTGCCGCGGAGCGGCTGGGCCCGTGAGCCATGGCCGCTGAGCCTGCACGTCCAGAGCCTGTGCTCCACAGCGGGAGAGGCCGC